TTAAAAATAAATATGCGAATTTGTGCACACACACATATGTACACATTTTATAACCCGTTTCTGCATTTGCCTCGCCTTTAATTTGATTATAAACAACAAAATTTACTGGCTAGTCAAATGTTGACTTTTGTGTTTTACCTTAATTGAGTTAAATATTGCTTTTTTTTACTCAATTAAATTAATCAGACAGACTGCCAATTAAAATAATTTTACAACTTTGTACCTAGATGCGCAAATTTGTCCTTTTGTTTCAATTAAAAAGTGAGTGGGCTTTTTCTTTACTAGTTACTTCGAATAGATTCTTAAAAACCGTTATTTGTTTTTATGAAAAAAGCGGTTTCAAAGCTTTTTAATAGATTTACCCGCAATAGTTCATGAACCGAGGCAGTCATTTCTTCTTCCTCCCTCTACCAGGTTTCTCCATAGGGTACCTCCCTCCTCCGTCGTCATATGTTTTCACCGAATAAAATACTTTCACAGGCGACTCGTTTGCTCCCATTCGCAGACACATTCTATTCGGCTTTCACCATAACCAAGAGACGCTTTTGAAAACCCATAAAAACGTATAGTATTTTTCAAAGACTTATACGTTCTAAGGTCAAATACAATTTAGGAAAAACAACTACGGCTAAAACTTAATTAAATCCTACTAGATTGCCAAAATCATACACTGTTCGATGCTTAACACGGTTTCTGAAACCCCTAAAGTTTAAGACAATCAATAATGTGGCATTATATTCTGCGAAATTCGCTCGATTTGAAAATACCGTTGTATAGGAAACTAGCAGAGCACCCGACGTCGTTCGGCGTAAACAAATGAAAATTTGAAACAGTAGTACAAATATTCAGTTCAGCATAAATTAAAGGAGACAAACTATTTTTTTTTCTGTTAAAAATAAGGCATCCTTATGAACCATACTTTTAGCTTTATCGTGCATCATCTACTATATATTTGTCATTATTTTTCGTAATAAAAATCTTGTTTCAACGCTAGAATTTTTAAATGAAAATTAATCTACTACGGTACATTCCGTTTAGTTGCCTATTCGCTTAGCTGTTTTCGTATAGCTGCACTTTTCCGGTACATATTTATCCCCCTTTTACAAAGTCATTTGTGTGCACTTTACTCTAAACGCGTTCCACATATACATATATGCCTGCATACCAAATTTCAAGTTCATGCGACTTATAGTTCCGAAGTTATGCCTGATTAAAAATTTCACGCCTACGGGAGGTGCCACGCCCCCTTGTCGAATCCCAATTTATTTCACCCTATTATAGGCCCAGGTGTCATGGCAATACTCTCTCAAAATTTTGTTCGATTCTGTTTAGGCTGCAACCTGGCACATACATACATACATAATTTCACAAATATATAGTAGATTTCGATGTTGCTAATTTATGTAAATATGTAATGTTTTGTTTCTCAGTTTTTCAGACTCTTTACGTCTAAAACTTTTGATGATCAATAACAAACAAAGCGCTCTCTCCCATCTCTTTCAGGTGGCATACCGCGTTTCTCCATTGCCGCCGCCGCTGCTGGAATGGCCCAGTACTTGTCACAAAGTCAAGGCGCTCCGCTAAAAACGCATGCTGGCCACATTGTGGAACGAACGCATTTGTACTGGCCGGGATTGCAGGGATTGGTGGCGAATCCAATAGCGTGGCGTGAAAGGCTGTCGAATACAAGTGAGTAAAAATATGTAATAATAAAAAATATGATAATCTATAGATGGTATAGAACCGGGTGACTCGGGGGGGATTTCAAGTTTTCAAAAATTAAATAAAAAATTAAGGTTTAGATTTTAAATAATAGTTATTTAGACGGCTTTAATTTACAAATAATTATTATTTAATATTTCGATATACATGAATATGTATGTACATATGCCTTTATATGTATAGGCCTTTAAATATACATAAACCAAAACATCCTTCCATACTAAGGACCGCTGTTTCAAGTTAATTTTAAAATTTATCAGCACTTTAAACACAGTTTTTTTTTCTAAAACATGTGTTTGAAGGGCAAATAAAACTTAAAAGCTTCCTTCGAAAATGGCTATGCAATAGTATATGACGGTTATGCCGAGAATTCTGTAAAGAGAAAATTTTGGAAAAAATATAAACTTTTTTTTAATCTAATGAAATAACTAAATATGTTACATTAAAAATTAGGTGACATCCCTGTTTAGAAATATGCCAGGATAGAGAATACGTATTTTGAGTATGTATGTACTGTGTACACAAACAAAAAAAATGTATGACAAACGCATGAAAAATCACCCTCAACGAAAAAAACATTCTCAAAAATTAGCATCAATTTGGATACTCAAAACTTGCGCTTTATCAGAATAAAATTAAATAAGCTTTGTAGAAATTCTGATAAAAGAGTTTGAAATTTTTATGATCAATTTTCGAAGTTTGATAAATTGTTGAGAAATTTTCGCAAACTCTGAAACTTATATATATGTGGTTTCTGTTACAAACTAAATAATATATTGAATAAATAAATTACTAAAAATATATAAATAAACATAAGTTGGAATTGACCATAACGTTGCGGCACTGATTGAGAATATACTCGTCAACAGAAAGATAACTGCTGGACTCGGCAACACCACAATAAGCAGACAGGTGTGTAGAGCCACAACCTGGGAGCGGTTCTGTCCCATTTGCTCTGGATTTTGGCAGAAAGCTCCTTGTTGCTGGTCCTAGAGAGAGGCTATCAGCCTACGACCTGGAAATTGCCAATAAATCCTAATACATCGATGGATATTCTGCCTTCTAACATGAAAACGCTTAACAATTGGACCGAGGGTAGGGGACTCGAAAGAAAAAACTCGGACAAAACCGAAGAAGTTCTCTTAATAAGGAAAGGCTTCTTACAGTCTAATTTTTAAAGATGTGAGAATGCCTTTAAAAGAGAATTTTAAGTATTTACGACTCATATTAAACAGGAAACTTACGTGGACACCTAAGATAGAGGAAAGATCGAAATAAAATGGGGGTTGACACCTCGTATTACCTACCGGCTGTACACTTCTGTGATCAGGCCAATACTACTATATGGAATCCTAGATGGTGGCCATCAACTCAAAAGGCAAGTTATCTAAATCTACTGAGTAAGGTCCAAAGAATAGCGTTTTTATGCATCTCGCGTGCTTTAAGGACCACCCCAAACAAAGCGCTAGAAGTGCTATCCTGCCGTTAATCTTGTAGCAAAATACGTGGCCGCCGCTTGCGCGTACAAACTAAAACGTATGGTGCTATGGAATGATCAGCGTTCCGGCCACGCTTCCATACTTCACACTCCGGGTAGTTATGACCGTTATATTGACTACTCCGCCTCCAAACAAACCTTCGATAGGCTCTTTAAGACGAGCATCCCATCAAGAAGGGAATGGCAAGGCATACACCAAGACCATGGAGAAGAGGGGGAGATGAATTTTTACACGGATGGACTCGAAGCTAGACAATAGGTTTTGCTACGGAGCTTTCTCTAACGACTGAACCTATTCGTCCGAATTCCGGATCACTGCAATGCTTATCAGGAGGCATGCCGTAACGAAGACTATGATTAATATCTACTCGAACAGCCCGACGGCCATCAAATCAATGAACGGCCGTGGTAATGTTAAAATCGAAGGTTGCACAGGATATAGAGATATTGAAGTAAATTGCAGGGTCGCTGAGCCAGCCTGGAAAGGTACTAATCTCCCCAAATGTGTAAGCAGAAGTAAAATTGAGATATCCATGGCAACCTGCAAATTAGGGATTAGAAATAACAGGTATTGGCTAGAGTAGAGAACTCGTAGAACAACCATGCTACTGAGGCCACAAATAGATAAGACAAGAACGGAAGAGTAAAAATAAGAACGAAAGTATCGAGAACATTTTCAAGAAGAATCAAATAAGAACAAAAGTCTGGATACGTTCTCGTAGAGAAAAAATCGAGAACAAATGTTTGAGAACTTTCAGCAAAGAATGAGAGGAGGCATCTGCTTGCCGTGATGAAAATCGTTTCAGTGAGAACCATGATTGTTATTTCTAAGCGAGAAGAAAGCTGGATAATTTAAATTTCCAGATCATTTCTCATTTTCTGTGCGCGAAAAGTTCGTGTCTGACCTTATTTGCATATGCAATTATTAGGACAACTCAAAATATGTTCGGGCATGTTTTTTTGTCAGGCATGTTAGCAACACGCTGATGAAATGCTTAAACGTTTTTCCAAAAAGTATAAAGCCGCTGTGTAGTGGTAAGCAGTGTGTGCTTTCACTTCGCAGGGCCTGGTTCAAGCACTGGTCAAAGCAACATCGCAAAAAAAATATAGAAAAAATGTTTTTTCTTAACAGCGGTCGACCCTCGGCAGGCAATGGCAAACTTTTATAGGTTGCGAAAATCCCGGGATTCTTGGCAAATAATCCCAGAAGATGTAATCTGCACTAATAGGAATAATAGGAACTCCCTTTCTTGACCAGTGTTGGCTATGTTTCTTTTTTTATTTAATAATTAGTATTTTTTTATAAATGTCTAGCTCATTGTACACACTGAGAGAAAAATCAACCAAAAATTGGTTAATATTAACAAATTCAAACTTGAAAAGAAATCAACGTGATTCTTGCTTAATATTAACAATGCCTTGGTTGATATTTTCAACAATGATTTGGTAATATTAACCACAATTTTGTTTACATTAACCAAACTTTTGGTTGGCGATTTTTCGTTTGAATACGTTCATGTTCTGCACTTCATAGATGCTTTTTCATACATGGAGATACCAAACCGAAATTTATATTGTCATTTCAACATGTTGCCGCTGGTTGGATTAGCAAATAAAAGCAAGCATCTCTACACACTAAGCTACAGCTGCTTTATAAATGTGTCGTGGATGGATTTGGTTCTGCACTTCACAGAGGCTTTTTCGTAATTAGGAAAAATCAAAAACAGAAAAAAATAAAATTTATGTATCGCGCGTACAGCATTCGTACTGCTGGAAGCCAACAAATAACAGCAAGTACCTCTGCTCGTTAAGCTATACGCCATACATATGAATTTTTCTCAAATGTTCAACTTGAATCACATTTCTTACAATCGGCTTATTGACCACGAAAAAATCAAACCATAACTTGGTAGAAAAAACCATTGTACTTTTGGCTCAGTGCATATAACACCGCGCAATAGTAAATTTTACACGCAAAAAAAATCAATATATTCGCGCAACCAGGGGCCAAATATAGTAAAATTGCGTTTTTATTTTTTCACTCTGACGTCAGAATGCGAAAATGATTTTAAAAATTCAGTGAAAAGTGCTTAGAGTAAAAGTATAGGTACCAAATTAAAGACAAAGTTCTGTAGAATTTAAAAAGATTCAATTGTTTGGAACATAAGAACTGGTAAGTATTGAAAATATCCTTTTAAAAGTTTATCCTTGAAATTTTGCAATATTTATTTTTTTGGAAATGGTATGTTAAGGACTTATAAAAACTCGATAACATCTTCGAATGCCATTCTTCTAACTTTATCTGCTTAAAAAATTACTTATTGGCGTTGCCCAACTTTGCTTATGTGGAGACTTTCATATAAATACATGTATTCATAGTCAGCATTCGAGGCGACGCCAACGCCAACACCAACGCCAAAGTTGGATGTAAACGGGCCTTTAGACAATTTGTTTCCGTTTTGCTCTTTACCAAAACGTTCCGGTGATTTTTGTTCTCATTTTGTTCTCTTAGAAATTTCCCCGAAATTATTGCTCTTGGAAACAAAACTACGAGAACGACATTGAGTTTCGATCATACCTTTGGTTCTCGGTCCCTGGCTAATTTCTGTAATTTTTTAACCGACTTCAAAAAAAGGAGAGGGTTGTCAATTCGTCGGACTTTTTTGCTTTGTGTATGTTACTTGGGACCACGTTAACCGATTTCTATAATCCTTTTTTATAATTTTTCAAAGAAAAGGTGGTATCCAACAGGTGGTCCCATGCTAATTTCCATGCTAGATCCGATCATTGGATCATGAAGAAATTAACGGCGATCTTATATGTTATATCCTTGAAACTGTTACCTGTACCCACTTTACAAACTTTAAACAAATAACTTGTCTGAAAGGTTTAAGTTTTTTAGAAAATATAAAATAGTGAGCTTGATTTTTAGAAACCTGAAAATATCTAAAAAAATCGGCCTATTTTTTAGCTTAAAATACTAGATACTGTAAGAAAAAACATCGCTTAATACTTTCCAAAAATATTCACAAACCAACAATTAATCCACAGATTTAACTAAATAAGAGTGCCTAATAAAATTATAACAACAAATTAATGAAGTAACCATGAAGCAAAGTGTCAAAATCGCACCCACACCGTGATTGCGTTGGCCGCTGCTAGAATACACTCACTTCAGTTCAGTTCATTAACAAGTGTTGTTCGACCTCTTATTTTCACAGTAAAATTTCTGGTTGTTGATTTTTGCTTTTGTCATTACGCTGAACTGCAGGAGTAAATTAATTTTTCATATGCCTGTCAATGCATGGAATGCAAACGAAGTGAAATGCGAGCAAATGAGTTGTGAATGAGTGAATGAATTGATGAGTGGATCGTGCATAAGTGCATCCAGTTAAAAAGCATTAACTGCAACAACTACTCAAAGTAGATGATGCACACGAAATGACAAACGGCAGCAAGAATGCGCTGA